TTTTTTGGTGCGGGCAATATTTATATAAACACGGTCGATTTGTGCTGCTCAGCACATGAAATAAAAGCCCTGCCGCATCAATTTTTCATTAATTTTTTTCTTTTACTTTTGGGAGTCATGCCGGACTCCCACCCGTTCTTTTTTTGTTTTCTTTTTTAATCCCTGCAGTTTGTTTCTGTAGTTACCGTATCTGCTGTCACTGTGTGTCTTTGTATCCCGTTGAGTGTTCCTCTGCTGACTGTGCAGTTGACATGCCCTCGTTCCTTTTTTTTCTCTTCTTTCCTTCTAGAGGCATCGATGTTCCGCGACGACGATTGTTTGTGTTCCTCATTGCGATGGCACGAGGGCGACTGGGCGCCGGCCTGCTGAGTGCACTAGGAGTGGAGCGGATGGTGTGCGCCGTGCCTCACTGTGCGTGTGGGACGCCAATCCGCTGGGGAAGGGAGAAGTGAAGGACTGCGGTATGTACTTGTATCCGTCCCGTCCCTCTTGTTGCCGCCGTGTTTGTGCTGTGCGCATGGCTCTTTACTGCGGTGCGACGTGGATGGCGTTGCTATTGCATGTGCCCTTGTGCATGCGCTGTGCGACGGGCTTCTCTTCCCCATGACACCGTCCTTGTGTGCGGGAGAGTGGACGGAGTGGAGATGTGTGAAGGAGTGAGGGTGGCTGTTGTTCCCGCACATTTTCGTCTTCCACACACGTGACACCACCCGGCAGCCTCTCGCAGCACCCATGCCGTGAATTGAGAGGATGTGAAGGTCTGCTCCAAGCACGAGGAGGACAACAAGATACAGTGCATGACGGCCAACCTGATCCGCGGGTGGTTGCAGCGCATGGAGCACGTGCGCAAGTACGCGTTCGGCGTTGCGCTCATGATTGGGGAGGAGAGGCGGCACGACGTTGTGGCGCTGTGTGTTTTGTGGCGGCCGGGGCATGCCGGCGATTGTGAGGGACGTGGAGGACACGGAACTGTTCGACTGGGAGGTTGCTGACATTGCGGCGCAGCGGGAGCGCATGACGGACTACCTGTGCTGGGAGGGCCCGACGATCCCGAGGCCTGTGCTGGAGGGGCGCGTGTTGAAGTGAGCGTGGCGTGCCTGTGAGGGCCTGAGTAGAGAGAATAACGGTAATGGTAACTGTGGGGGTGTGAGGAACGGGACACGGGCGAGGAACGCTCCTCTTTTTTTTTCTTTTGTTGAACCACGCCCACCTAATTGTTCTGATGGTGCGCGACTCTCATTGCTGGATGGGACAGTGCGTGGCTGTGTGACTTGTCTCTTTTTTGCTTTTGCTCTGCGTTGACGGGGAGTTAATTTGTGCTGAAGGCTACACGCAAGTGACAGGAGTGATGGCGATGATGATGACTGGCCGTGTGCTGCTGGTGTGTGCCCTCTGCGTGCTGTGGTGCGGTCTTTCGGGAATTGCGGCCTATGATGCTGATGGTGCCGATGGCAGTGCGGTTGAGTATTCGCTCTCGCGGTGGCGCGCTCAGCTGCGGAGGGGTTGCGCGGTGGAGGTCAGCAGGAGGACAGGAGGCGGTGCGAATGCGTCCGCCGTGGAGGAATGCGTGGGTCGGGGGATGGACGGTGTGCGTGCCGTTGTGGATGGCCGTAGCCGTTGGAGGCGTCAGCAGTTTGCCGTGGCTGCTGCTGCTGTTGATGGTGATGTTGATTCTGGTGAGGTTGACATAAATTCCGTATCTTCCCCAGAGGATCAGTCAGGGACTGGTGCTGGTTCGCGGGAAGAGTCACAAGTGAAACCACCGGTCGTTTCAGAACCAGGGCAAGCAGATACAACACCAGGAGGAGAGAATCCACCGAAACCCGCAGAGTCTCTTGAGACGGCGAAAGGCAAAAGTGGAGGGACATCAAAGGAAAAAGACAAAGAGGAAAGGCCGACTGTAGAGACGAAAGGTCCTAACAGTACCGATGATAACAAACAAGTTGACAATGCAGCCATCGGCAATTCAAATGGAGGTCGGGAAGAAAAGAACGGAGTCACGCTGCAAGTTCAAGACGAAGTCGTGAAACCCAAAGAAGAAAAACAAGAACCGCAAAAAGAATTGGAAGAGAAAGAAAAGCAAAAGGCTCAAGGGAATAAAAAGGACGATCCTGAAGATCCCGGGGAAGATGCTGAAGACACTGAAGATTCAGCTGATGGCACAGATCACAAAGAGGGTGAAGGACAGAAGGAAGGAGATGCAGGAAGCAATAAAAAAGGAAAAGAATTGAATGGGGGTGGTGATACCGACGGTACACCCCCTGACGCACCTGTAGTTCTTCAGCCTGCTCCCCCTGTTGAAGTTACGGACCCTCAAAGTATTGAGAAAACGAACGATGACGACACTGGGGGAAAAGAAGACGCCGGCAGAACGCAAACGCAAGAAGCAGCAGGACCATCACAGGCAGAGAATTTAACAGCAGAATTAAGTACCGAAGAAAATGCAGCCGAAACAGAAACAGGAACCCCGGGAAAAAAGACGCAACCAGAAGATGCAGGAAAAGAACAGACAACCGTTGGAGCAAAATCAAATCAAGAAACACCTGCCGCGGAAAGGGAGGCACAAAACAGAGAAGAGGTAATAAAAGACGAGGAAGGTTCAGAAAAAGCAACAACAAATGAAAATTTTGACGGAAGGCAAACAGCCGTAAAGGACAATGCCCACAATGAGGCAGAGAAAACAAGTCAAAAAAATGAAAATGAATTGGATAAGGCAGAAGAAACAACAGCAGAAGTCAAAGAAAAGGAAGAGACAACCGAAAGAAAAACCGTTGCAGCCAAAGGCCCTAACCTGAACAGCACGGCAGCAACTAACGACAGTGACAGCAGCACCGCGGTCTCCCACACCACCTCCCCTCTTTTGCTTCTTCTTCTTGTTGTTGCGTGTGCGGCTGCGGCTGCGGTGGTGGCCGCGTGAGAGTGAGGGTGAGAGAGCCGTGCACCGCCTGCACACACACTCGTCCTTCTCTCTCACTTTCTGTGTGTGTCCCCTTGCATGGACTCTCGCCCTCACCTCACCCCACGAGGCACACACATAATGTGCCCATTGTATATATGCATGCACACCCATGCATGCCCGTTGGTGCTCTCTTTTGCACCACACGCACCGCTGCCGTCCTGCCTGGCTGCATGGGCGGAGCACCGTAACTGTTTCTGTTTTGTTTTTATTGCATTGAGTGGGCGACCTCTCCCTCTCTCTCTCCCTGTGTGTGTGTGTTTTGCTTTACGGGAGCAATGAGAGTGTGTGTGCTGGTCGTCCCATGCTTCGGCTTTTTTTGTTTTTTGTAAATTTAAATTTTTTTACCTGTTTACTTTAAAAATTTTTTGCTAGTTTTTTTTTTTTTAGTTATTAATTTGTGCATTTTAAATCTTTCACTCCACACTTCCCCCATTCCTTTTTTTTTTGCTTTCGGGGGCAGTCACTGTGGACTTTTTTTCTTTTCTACTCTTCCCTCTTTAATTGTTTCTTCTGCACTCTTCCTGTGAGGGGTGCCGTGTGTTTCCCGCCCAACTGCTTCACTCGCACACCCACCGACACGCTCATGACGACGGCCCTGTGCGCCTCGCCTGCTGCACGCATGAGGAGGGGCCGCGACGAACGGTGCGCTGAGGGAGCCGTGACGTGTGGGCGTGCGACGAGGGCCTGTGGGGCGGAGCACACATTTCTTTCCCTCTTGTTTTGTTTTCTTGCTGCCAGGGCGGGCAGACACCCGCAGCGCCACACACACAGCCACACCCTGCCGCCGTGTTTTTAAGATTTTTTGTTGTTTTTTTTTGCTTTTGTGGATGGTGTGCTGCCACCGTGCGTGATTGTTGAGGTTGAGGCCGCACCGCATGTACCGCTGCCATCCAGCTGTGCCTCTTGCCGTCCTGATGTGCCTCCCTGTGCTCCTTCTCTTTTCAGCTTCTCCAACAGACACCCACACACATAAGTATTTGCACAGTGCTCCGCAAGAATGTATTTGCACTGCCGAGTGTGCTTTGCTCGGTGTGTGCTGGCGCGTGACGGACGGTGCCACGATGGTCTCCTCCGGCGATGAAAGTCGCCGTGCTCTCGGCACACACCCACACTCTTCCTTGTCTCTCTGTGGGAGTGAGTGCGGCAGCAGCGTGGTCTACGGCAGCGGCAGCTGGTGCTGCGGAGAAGGTCGAGGCGCCGAGGAACAAGAGGGCGAAGCTGCTGGACGCGATTACGATGGCGGATGAAAGCTGTTTCGTTGCTCTTGCTTTGTAGATTGCTAAGAATGTGCCGTGTCGCCGCCTGAAGGGATGCGTGCACTCGGCACCCTTCGAGGCATTGCGTTGTTTCATTCAGTGTGATGTCACAATCATCATGGCAGCATCTTCCCTCAACGGCTCTGAGTGTGACAATACGAATGACGGCAAAGAGAGCGATGAGGATTATGGTGACGACTTGCACCGAGTGGCGGATTATTTGCGTGTCTTTGCACACGAATCCCAGGAGGGTTTGAATGCCGTCTCCACAATTCCCGGCCTTGCGGAACCGTTGGCTTTCGCGCTGTCACCCACCGTAATTAGTGCCCCATGCGTTGAGGCTGATCCATTTACCCTGGAGTTCACGCAGCAGCTCTCGAGTGTTTGTGCTGCTGGTCCCGCGTTGGCCCTTTCGCATGTATTTCAGCGTTGCCTGGAGTGTGATTTGATTTCTGTGTTGTCCAGGCCGCCGCCTCCAGTTTTCTTTTTTGGTGCCCAATAAGAAACACTTTGCGTTGCGGTGGATATTTATTTGCATGGCCGTCGATGCACGTAACGATGCTCAACGGGTGTGTCTTTTGTTTGGCGGGCACGAGGGGGACTTCGGTGTGTGCCGACACCTCCGCGAAAGTCTCAGTTGACGGATGGAGGCAAAAATAAGGGAGGTCTGTCCGCTGCATCTCTCAAGGCAGCTGCGGGGCACTCCGAGCGCACAGAGTGAATGGATGGATGCCGCGCAGCTGGGGAGACCAGTTTTCTTCGTCCTTCGTTGCCGGGGGAATCGAGAATCCACAGCGTCACTGCCAGCTGCATTTTACTGCTGGGGATCAACTGTTCTGAAGTTGCCCGTCTAATGTGAATCGCAGCGTCAGTGCAGGAAGACGCTTTCACGCATTGCGAGTAGTTGCTCCAGCCTCGAGCTCATCAATCTTTACGGCAGGGAGCAATGCATCTTGGTGGCCGGTGACGTTCAGACGAGTTTGTTTCACTTCACCCGCCTCGTATTTGTGGGGGAAACTGCGCATCGACCCTCCCCAACAGTCCCACCACCTTCACTTTCCCCCGCCGACAGCTGCCCTCTGCTGACGGTACAGTTGCTTGGCTCCGCCAATAATGCGCTCGCGAAACGTCCTCTCCGTACTCTGCAGGATTATTGCCGTGGAGGAGTTGATGGCATATGGTGCGGGTGTGGCGTCGACGGAGTCATCCACGCATTGTCTTAGAAACATGACTCTGAGTCGTGTCAGTCATGCCGTGTTTCCTTTTTTCTTGCTGGGAGTCTTGTGGGTGTGTTTGAGCCCTTTTTCTCCAATTTGTTTGCTGAAACGATCCAATGCTCCGCCGCTGCACATCGCCGGTTTTCCATGGCGGTGAATTGAGCAGATGCCGGGGGAATTTCAGGCGGAGCAAACCGAGGTTTGCCTCACTTGCTGCTGACGCAGAGTCCGTTACTGAGGGAACACAATACGGAGGCGGGAATGCCAGCGGAGCATCGCGTGGTGCCGCGCATTTCCCTCATTGGCGGGGTGACAGCCGAGCCTTCCAATCAGCTTGACTCTGATATTCTGCTGCGCCTGATGGGACACGTTATCGCCATGGCAGAGCAGCCTTCTGACTCTCTTGTTGATATCATGGCTTGGAGAATGGGAGTTTCTCTCCCATTGTACCCAACAGAGCCGGCACTGGCGCGTTGTTGCTGTGTTGATGATGACGCTGTGACGGAGGGAATAGCGGTTGTGTATTCACGATGAAACCTACCGGAGACGTATTCATCGCGTGCGTTTTCCACCTCAGCACGCGGTGGGTGGCGGTCCTTTGAGGATTTTTGTGGACGGGCTGTTTAACCGCGGCCTTTTAGTGAATGAGGTCTTTGTGGAAGATGATGCAATCCGCGTGCAGCACAACGGATGCCCCCAGTACTCCTTGGAGGAGTGTAGGCGAATCCTGCAGGGATTGATGAGGGACGGCCTGCCTGTGATGTGGCATGAGGCAAGTAACCGTCGTTTGGCGCACTCAAGCAGCATCCCCTATAATGCGCCTATCGGCTGTGACTTGCATGGACACATGCAGACCGTCCACATCCTCGTGGAGCCGCAGCACGCGCGTTGGGGCTTTTTTGAGTCCCTTCAATACTGTGAGTCTTTTTTTTTTGAATGTGCCATTGCCAGAGAGCGAGACAACCCTGGCCAAGTTGGTTGTACTTTTCCAGGGACGAGACAGTCGAATATTTGGCTCCCGTGTGCGGTACGTTGCTCTACCCTGCCGTCTGCAGTGGTGCCTCTCTGACGACATTTTTGACCCATTTTTTCCACCGAGAAGGAGAGGGCTGGCTCCGAATACCGTTTATCTGAGGACGCAACTCTGCAGTCTTACGTGCCATATCTTCCACGCGTATTTTCGAGGGTACGCGTCATTTATCTGGACGCCAACAACGCCATCGTATCATCCGATGCGACACCCTTGCACCGTTGTTGTTGTCGTCACGGTAATTTTGTTTTTTTTCCGACGGGAGTGAGACGGGTTTTGTTTTTTACCTGCACGATGTACTGACTCCCACTGTGGGCGCTGAGAGCGTGCAGCGGAACTATGGCAAGCTTGCAGAAACTATATTGCTTAAAAAGTGGAGGGCCGTTTGTTGTGCAAGTAGGGGGAGATGGTTGTGGTTCTCTCCTCCTTCTAGTTTTTGGTGGCTGTTCTGTCGTTGTGTGTGTGTTTCTTGTGTGGATGCCGTTTTGCAGTGCATGCAGTGTGCGAGTTGTGCCTGCCGCGGGAGGTCGCATCATTACCGCGCACGCAACAGCGACGCTGCGACGATGTGTGTGAGTCTTTTTGCTGCACCTCTTTCTATTTTCTTTTTCTCTTCTCCGCTCTGTGCGCAGATCGGCTTACCGAATTCAGCAACTCTACTACTACTACTACTACTGCTGCTGCTGCTGTTGCTCGCAGGTGTACGCGGAAAATGATGATGATTGTATGGCGTGTGTGGAGACGGAGTTGTTGTGTGGGAGCAAAGATCCCAGTGTGCACTGGCGCCCAGTCGGCGAGAGCCGCTGGACTGCGTGTCGTACTGATAAGAAACCAGACACTCAAGATCTAACGGAAGAGGAGGCTTTCAATGCGATATTCGACTATTTTGCGGCGAAAGGCTGCTCGGATTACGATGGCACGAATAATTCCGTAGGAATGGAGGAATATTTGACTCCTGACCTCACGACGCCCAATACCACCGATGTGTGCAGCGATGGGACAGCATCCATGGTCCTCGGGCGCCCGCCCCCGCTGCCAAGGAACCGACAAACAGCGGTGCGTGCAGCAGCGCCACAAAGAGCACATCTCCTTTAAAAAAGAGGATCTAAGCGAGCAGAGGAATCTTGTTCGAAGGTGACATCTCCTTGCCGACGGTGGAAGGCAGCGAAATTATCATCTTGTGGGTGGAGAAACCACTGCTGCCTCTGCTTCTGGGATTGTGTGGAGTTGTGGCAGTCTTCTGAGACACGGAGTGTGGATTTGCGATTTCTCACGGAGAATACGTGCCGCATTCTACGCGGGTTTTCTTTTTACTTTTGTTAGTGCTTTTTTGTTGTTGTTGTTTTCCTGGAATGATAAGCACCCTTTATTTATTTAATGTTCGGCTGCTGCACAATGTCGTGTGTGACGTGCTTCTCCTTCTTGTTTTGTTTTGTTGCCCACACGCGGTGCCGGCGTCATTGCTGTGTGTCCCACGGACTGCACGAAAGGAGCATTGGAGGAACAGGCCGGATGCCGCAATGAAATGTGAGTATTGTTTTGTGAGGGCTGGTGGGACAGTACAATTGTTTTTTATTTTATTATTTTTCTTGTGAAAGAGTTATTTATCTACAACAACGCACGGTCGTTTTATGCTGCTTGGCACATGAAATGGAAGTCGTGCCTGATCATTTTTTTCATTTTTTTACTTTTGGGAGTCTTCCCAGGCCCTCAACTCTGTTTTTGTGCTTTTTTACTTTTTAGATTCACGTTTGCAGAGCGGTGTGTGTTGTTTGCAATCGCAGCGATTCCAACTGCCTCATGGTGTTGATGGGATGTTGTTATTTGTGACTGTTTGGTGGCGCGGTTGTGTGACTTGTTTCTTTTTGCTTTCACTTTGCGTTGACGGGGAGTTAGTTTGTGCTGAAGGGTGCACGCAAGTGATAGGAGTGATGGCGATGATGATGACTGGCCGTGTGCTGCTGGTGTGTGCCCTCTGCGTGCTGTGGTGCGGTGTCGGCGGTAGTTGTGACGAAGGGGAGGCGGCGGGTCTTGGGAGTGATGCTGAACTTCCACCTGCACCAGCACCTCTTGAAAAGACTCCACAAGGACCCAAAGGCTTACAAAGTGGAGAACCAGGCGTTAAAGAAAATGTAACACCCGCATCTTCCACACCTACAGAGGAAGAGGACGATGATGAAGAAGTTGAAGACACGGAAAATGGAGAAAGCGAAGAGGAAGAAGAAAAAAGAAAAGAAGGGCAGAGTAATAAAGGAGAAACAGGTGCAATAGGCTCAGGTTCCAGGGAAGAGAATTTAATTGGCAGTGAGAAGGAAACAGGCGAGTCAATTTCATCTGCTGGGAGCATTTCTCCTTCCGGCAGTCGGGAATCAAATGCCAATCTTACGCAACCGGAAGTTGAAGAAAAGAAGGAAACCGAAAAAAATACACCAGCAGTAGAGAATCCACTCAAAACAGTTAACGGAGAGAACACACTGCCTGCGGGAATTGCGGGAGGAAATTCTCCACCACCTCCAGAAGACAGTGTTGATTCCCGAGAACAGGATGGCGAAGACACCACGAGTGAAGGTAAAGAAAATGTTCCATCGCCTGCGACCACAGCCACACCACAAAGCCACCGAGACAAAGGCTCAGAAGGGACTGGGGAAGTTACGAAAGCAACGACAGTAACCGCCAACACAACTGATACGACGAACACACAAAACAGTGACGGCAGCACCGCGGTCTCCCACACCACCTCCCCTCTTCTGCTTCTTCTTCTTGTTGCGTGTGCGGCTGCGGCTGCGGAGGTGGCCGCGTGAGAGTGAGGGAGAGAGAGCCGTGCACCGCCCGCACACACACTTGTCCCTCACTCTCTTTCACTCTGTGTGTGTCCCCTTGCATGGACTCTCGCCCTCACCTCACCCCACGAAGCACACACATAATGTGCCCATTGTATATATGAATGCACACCCATGCAGGCCCGTTGGTGCTCTCTTTTGCACGACACGCACCGCTGCCGTCCTGCCTGGCTGCATGGGCGGAGCACCGTAACTGTTTCTGTTTTGTTTTTATTGCATTGAGTGGGCGACCTCTCTCTCTCTCTCTCCCTGTGTGTGTGTTTTGCTTTACGGGAGCAATGAGAGTGTGTGCGCTGGTCGTTTCACGATTCGGCTTTTCTTTTATTGTTTTACTTGTGTTGTGGTTGAGAGCACTCATTACCCTTTTTTTGTGGATTATTAGGTTGTTTTGACTGCGGACACCTGAATTTTTTTTCTTTTTTATATGTTTTTGTTTTTGTTGAGGAAGCGTCAGTCTCTTGTATTCTTGTAAGTCCAATTAGCTTTTCTTTGACATACGCCATGCGTCCGTTGATCCACGTTAACCCCACGGTCTGCGCCGCTACTGGTGCTGCTATTGATGATTTGTGTTATGTGGGTTGCTAGTGGATGGCTTGCTTTCACCCTGAAGTATTCCTTATTTCTTGACGATGTGGTGCGCTCCCACAGCGAGTTTTATCTCGTTTACGGTGGGGAGAATGCATCTCAGGGTGCAGGACGCATTGCAGGTGTGCAGCGGCGTCTGGAAGGACCCATGGGTGCCCGTCCGCATCAAGACGTCAACAACAGACCCGTGTGACAGCATGGGGGCACTGCGGTTTCTCCTGGTCTCACGCAATGAATTTATTGAATGACAATCGCCACTGTGAGGATGGTGTTCTATCCTCTGCGCACGGCAATATCCTTGAAGAGGATACTTTCCCTGCTGCTGTGTAACTGCATGAGGATCGTCTGCTCGTCCAGCCACTGGAAGGTCCGTTGTTTGTGCCCCCATTTGCCACGGGCAGCGTTTGATGTTGGTTCACGGTGCCTGCTGAGCATTGTTCCGCTGTTGTTGCCGATTCTGTCATCGCGCAGTGCGTGGCTGCTGTGCTGGGTGCTGTGTGGGCACTGCGGTGCGTCACGCTGGAGGATGGCCGTCCAGTCGCTGGCGCCATGCACTTTGCCTGTCAGTTTTATTTCACGGACGCATCGCTACCTGCATCGCTACCTGCATCGCCGCGCACTTGTTGGCCCATGCTGTCGGGTTCAACTGCCCGCACATGGCCAGCCGGAGCATGGTGAGGAATGTTGTCGGTGTGCGTGGCGGGGCGTTGTCGGTGGTGGTGCACTCGACGAATGCCGCGATGGCTGCGAGGGAGCACCAATATTGCGGCGACACTGATGGCATGGAGCTGCAGGATGGCGATGGGGACGGGAGGACGCTGGAGTCGCACTGGTCGCAGCGCCACGCGAGGGATGAGTGGATGGCACCGATTGGGGGTGCCGGCTGCTGCAGAGGAAGTGCTCCGCACCGAACATGAGTGAATACCCCCACATGCTCTGCGCATTGGGCGTTCCTGCCAGACGCTGCACGTCGGATTGTTATTTTAGCGGTTGGTGTCTGGGGAGTATCCATGAGATGTCAGCAAAACGCCCAATGGGCCGTTGCCCCATCACTGATCCCGCACTGGATATGAGGGATATTGAGGGTGTTATTTGGAGAGGAGAATATTTTTCTGGGATGCCTGGGGATGAGCCCTCTTCTTGGTGTCTGGACAGGCTTCCCACCAACGCGACGGATGCGAGGAACCCGGAGGAGACATATTTCAGTGCTGCCACGCATGCGGCATTGAGGTGCCTCAGCATGAAGGTGCATCTGGAAGTGACTGAAAAGGGTAACGTCCGTTGGGTATCATGCACGGACGGGGCGACGATTGCGTGGGCCACTCGACCCTGCGATGAGGGAAACGTTATTTGCCGTGACCACGCGCAGGTGTGCACGATATCTGCCACCAGTGGTAGCCTACTTCCAATGGTTCCGTGGGACGGCGAGGAGAGGCTGTGGAGCAGGACGGTTTCACCGGCATCTACTGAACAAGGATTGCCAGGGGCATCTGTCCCCGTTGCGGAGAGCATTGAGACCGGCCGCGGCACACCACCGAAGGATGTCGACACGACTGCTCCCCAGAAGCATCCGTTGACAGAGGAGAAGGAAGTCGCCCCAGGTGCCACGACGGCAACGGAGTGATCTTGCCCAGCGACACCGCGGGTGCGCCGCAGGAGGCGGAGAAGAAGAGCGATGTTCCGGACAACGACGATGTGGCCGCCGATGGTGTGACGTCTGTTGTGGGACAATCCAACAGGAGATGAGGCCGGGAGCGACAAGGCCGGTGGCGGTGCCGCAGCCACGGGACCCAGGATCCCTGGTGCCGCTGATGACGCGCACGGCGCCGTGGACCCTCCGCCGAGGGAGGATGACGCAGCGGTGGGGCGCGGGGGTTGGGAGGAAGACATGAAGTACGCCTCGCCTTCGATCCACGGCAATAACACTGCTGCTGCTGCTTGTCCCTGTCTGCTGCTTCTTCTAATTGCCGCTGCCGCCGCCGTGCCAACACTCTATTGGGTGGCTGCATGGATGCCGCTGCACGAAGAGGCGACTGCGGTCGAGTTCTGCGTGGTCCGCACTCAGCAGTGGTTGCAAGAGAGAAAAGCCTATATCAATTGGCATTTCCTATCAGTACATACATTTATGTGCTCTGCTTGTCTGTATACTTTTTACCAGGGATATGCTGTATACACTCTTTCCCTTTTGTGTTGGTTGCTAATGTGGCGTCACCACGCGTGTTTTCAATGAGTTTAGGAACAACAACTTGTTTGACTTTTTCTGGAGAATACTGTGGTGTGTTTGTGTGCGTGTGCGAGGGATTTGTGTGGTTTTGACTTTTTTATTTTTATTTATCTGCTTTGGCATTGTGTAATGATGCTTCGCTTCTCCCATTATTTGTGTTTTGGATTGTGTGGTAAATGAATTGTCTGAAATAGCAAAACATCGGTGCGTGGCGTGTTGCTGTCCTGTGGTGTGCTTGCTGTTGCGGTGGCATAGTGTGATGCTCATTGTATTACTCCTGTTGCGTTCGTTTCTGAGGTGTTGCTAGGGCACCGGGAGTGGATGCCTGTGGACGCGCACCGTGCATTATGCGTGGCATCGGTGGGAGGGGAGACTGACATAGTTGGCGGGATTCAGTAAGGCGCATTTTTGCCCACGGACCCTGCAGCCGCAGCAGCCTGAGTGGCGCTTTGCATATGGGCCTGTGGATTGGTTTCATTTTGCGAGGCTTTTTTTACTGCTTGTCATTTTCCGCTCGGATACCGTGCCCGTGGCAGCTGCATTGGCATCAAAAGAGCCGTGTGCGTGTGGAGATTCCTTGATTGAGTACCTGCCTTACTTCTCTGTTATGTCAACTGACTGTTCCGTGTGCCGGCCAAACGATCGACACGACGTGCTGCCGACGGAGGGGTCCACGTGACATGACGTTGCGTCGCGTGCTTTGTTGCGGGTGTGTGATTTCCGCAACGGTCGTTGGGCGGTTGCCTGTTGGGTCGTTGAGGGTGGCGTGGCGACGGGTGCGGATGGACCCGATTGTGTGCTGTGGCTGTTCGTGTGGGGGAGCCGCGGGAAGGAGGAAGGCGGCGGAGCGATGGACTCCCGAGGAGTGCGGGGCGAGCAGCCATGAAGGTTGGCGACAGGGTATTCACTGCCCTGTGAGTTGCCGTGCGTGGTGTTTATTATTATTATTATTATTATTTGCGTGTTGGATGTGGCCGCTGTGGGTGAAAGCTTTTTTTTTTTTGCTTTTTTTTTCACGCCGGTTTGGCATCCTTTTCTGCGCCGTCATCTCTGTGTTCCTGCCGCACTCTTGCGTCCTCTTTCCTTTCCATTTTGGGGGCAGCTGCGTGTGGGTTTTACATGCCATGGAGTTGTGCGCCGTGCTGTCCGGTGTTTTATTGTTGCTTGTTATTCCTGCGTGCACGCGTCTCCCATGGTCATGGCAACAGCCCTCATGTAATCACCACTCCTTCTTCATGCTGCTGCTGCTGATGTGTGTGTGTGTTCTTCTCATCCTCCTCTCTTTGCCCCTCTCTAGACTGTGTGTGCAGCCGTGATGATGATGGTGACTGGCCGCCTGCTGTTGCTATGTGCCCTCTGTGTGCTGTGGTGCGGTGCCTGCGCTGGTGGATGTTCTGAAGCAGCTCCAACCCTTCCGGGTACTGGTGTGACCGACAACGGCAATAATCTTGAAGGTAAAAACAACACAACTGATGGCGTTGGAGCAGTTGGCCCAACCGGTCAACAGGCAGCGTCACAACCAGCAGCAGGATCGGTGCCCGTACCGGGAACGGAAGAGGAATCGGAACTAAGAACCGGAGAACAAGCACTCCAATCCGCAGCAAAGGCGGCAGAAGTGGCAAATGACACAACGAAAAAAGGTGAAGCTGATAAGGATAATGAATTGAAGGAGGAAGATGATGATGATGAAGATGAAGTGGAAGAGGAAGAGGAGGAGGAAGAGGAAGAGGAGGATGATGGCAATGAAGAGGAGTATGGAGGAGAGGAGAAAAAAGAAGAAGAAAAAGATGATACCAGCACTACAAAGGGGATCTCAGCAGTCGGTCAGGAAGAGCCAATTTTATCTTCTCGTGTGGAGGAAGCATCGAATAAAACAAAACCCCAAAGCACTCAAACAACTGGCGACAAAGATCCAGCAGCTGATGGTGCAGTGACACAAGAAGAAAAACAAAATGAAAATAAAGAAGCCAATCCGAAGGAAACACCAGTCGAATCCACAGGCATGAAAACCACAACGGCAACGACTGGCGACAGTGACAGCAGCACCGCGGTCTCCCACACCACCTCCCCTCTTTTGCTTCTTCTTCTTTTTGTTGCGTGTGCGGCTGCTGCTGCGGTGGTGGCCGCGTGAGAGTGAGGGTGAGAGAGCCGTGCACCGCCCACACACACACTTGTCCTTCTCTCTCACTTTCTGTGTGTGTCCCCTTGCATGGACTCTCGCCCTCACCTCATCCCACGAGGCACACACATAATGTGCCCATTGTATATATGAATGCACACCCATGCAGGCCCGTTGGTGCTCTCTTTTGCAGCACACGCACCGCTGCCGTCCTGCCTGGCTGCATGGGCGGAGCACCGTAACTGTTTTTGTTTTGTTTTTATTGCATTGAGTGGGCGACCTCTCTCTCTCTCTCCCTGTGTGTGTGTGTTTTGCTTTACGGGAGCAATGAGAGTGTGTGTGCTGGTCGTCCCATGCTTCGGCTTTTCTCTTATAGTTTTGTTGTTTTACTTGTGGTTGAGTGCACCCATTAGCCGTGTTTTTGAATTGTTGGCTTGCTTTGACTGCGTACGCCTAAATTCTCTTTTTGTATTTTTTTTTCTTTTCAGATATTGTCAGTGTTTTTTATTCTTGTCAAGCCATTAAGTATTTTCTTTTATGTAAAGCATGCATCAGTTGATCCACATCACCCCATGGTCTGCAGTGCTGCTGGTACTTCTGGTTGTGATGATGATTGTGATGTGTTGTGCCGGCGGGTGCTTTGCTGCCAGCCTGACGTACTCCTGCTCCTCTGACAAAGCGATGCGTGCCCACAGGGCGAAGTCGATCCCGGTTGTGGTGAGGGACGTGCCTTTTGGATCTGAAGGTGCGTCGCAGACATGCACCGTCATTGGGAGGAATGGATGGGTGCCCACCCGCATCAATGTGTCGACAATGGACCTGGATGGTACCAGGAAGTATTGCAGCTCAGAGCGGTATTGCGCAATGCATTCATCGGTGGCAATTGCGAGTGTGAAGGTGACGTTTTTCTATGCTGAGAAAAGGGAAATATTTGTTTCATTATACTTTGCTGCCACTGTTCGTTAATGGCCTGCGGGCTGTCCGTAGCGATGTGGCCAGTTTTTCCGTCTTGAACGATGCTGTCGTGCGAGAGGGTGTGTTCCCAAATAGTCGGATGCTCAGTTGTCGAGGACGGCGGCATACCCACAGCGTGTGCGGCAGGGCCTCCCGTGGATTGTCGGGGCTCAGCGGCTGGTGGGGGTTGCAGCAGAGGAGTGGCTGAAGGGCTACGGCTGTCATTGGAGCTTGCAGAGGTGCGTTGTCCGCTTTTTGCTCGTTGATACGCTTGACATTTTCGGTAGTGACCTGCGCGTGAGGCACTTGTTGGGAAGACCGTGGAGCTGTCGCAGAATCCACATGTGAGGCCTTCTGCAACGATTGGAGTGCCAGGGTTAGTGCGTCGGCCGTGTGCCTTCATATTGTGGACGGACGAGAAGACGCTGCTGCAGCTTGGGCAGGGCGACGTTGATCTGCTGCTTTTCATTCTCCGAGGAGGTGCCGTGGACACGCCAGGTGGAGGTTCCGGAGGAGCTCGGGGTGGTCCTGCCTCTTCAGTGTGAGGAAGGGACGGCACCACCGACATAAAGGGTTGCTTGTGATCTGCAGGGCGCGTGCCGGTCTGCCGAAGAGTGGGCAGGAGGACGCCCATCAGCCGCTTGTTGGTCGGCAAGGAGTGGCGGTGCTCACGTCGGGAAGAGGTTCCGGTGGAGGCGGAGCACAGACGCGGTCCCAACAGCACCGCAGCACAGCCGATCCCAGAGGGCAGGGACGTGGTGCCGCCATGTCTCAGGGCATCACAGGCCTTGGCTCGAGAGGGCACCAAGCTGTTTCGCACGGACCTCTGACAGCATGGAGAAGCCACGGCGGAGGGCATGATTGCGGTCCTCCCGTTTGCGGGGCACTTCAGCTCGGGGCAGGCTGCCGCTGCAACACACTCGGCCTGCTCCATTCCGTCCGTCCAGGTTCCTGTGGGACTGTCACGGCTGCCACTCGTACGGTGCCTCGGTGCATCTCCAACCATGTGGTCACAGCGGCCAGAGAAGTTCCACACGCCGAGGTGGAAGCATAACAGTCGGCTTCACGCAGGACAACGGCGTCATGTTTCCGTCGTGGCAGCATGCCTGCCTGTCGCGGGATGCCGTCCTCCGTCCCTGCAGCGTGGGATGGCAGATGGTGGTCCGAATCCATGTAAACGGGTGGACGTCCAGTGGGAGACACGCAGTACGCGTTGCGCAGTCACTTCGGGAAACGAGACGCTGCGGCCGCTGTTCCACGTTGCCTGTGCCGGGTCGTCGGATAGCTCAGAGTCCATGTCGCTTGGGGTGGCGGCGAGGTCCTCTCCTGCCGTCGTTGATGGCGAGCAACCGTCCCGCAGCTCATGGTGTGAATTCGGGTCGCAAATAACCGCTGCGGGGCCTAAGCGACGAATGTTGCTCGCAAAGTGAGCAGCGTGAGCCATTGCCGTGGGAAGGCTGTAGAGGGTCACCACGTACATGCTGGGGCTGGCCTGTGGGCACACGCGGAAGGCGGTGGTCTCCACGCAGTTGGTGCCACGAGCAACAGGCGCTCGCACGGCAAGGTGTGGCGCACCAAGAAGGCCACGCCACCGGCACGCCCACCGCACTTCTGGTGGAAGTCACCGCAGCCAATGAGCCTCGTCGCTGGGGCACTCTGCTGCCCGCACTCCTGCAAAAAAACCATGCCGGGATGGTGCTGCGCCAGTCGAGCAGCAAGGGCGATCCTGAGGGGCGAAGGACCTGAAGTTCTGAGCTGCCAGGTAACTACGAGGCCATCCTCATCGGCGCTGCGGTTCTTGCGGACACCACCGCAGCGGATGATGGCGACGGAGTGACCGCAATAAAGCGACCGTGCGGTTCTGTCAGTCGGGTTGCAGGCAAACCGCCTCGCCGCTCCACAACCGACAGAGCGTGGGACCTTCTCGAGGGGTGACGCCGTCGTGGTCCCCATCACGCTCGCAGCAATGCCCTGCCGCAATCACTCCCACAGAGAGACAAGGAAGAGTGTGTGGATGTGTGCGGAGAGCACAGCGACTGCCATCGCCGGAGAAGGGCATCGTGGCACCGTCCGTCACGCGTCAGGACACACCGAGCAACGCCCACAACCGGCAGTGCAAAAACAGAGGAGAGAATGGTCCCAAGAGCAGGCAACATCTTCACACACGGCGGGCATCGTGCAGCCGTGTTGCCATTTCAGCACGGGACGCAAGCCCACGCCCCGCTGTCGCCAAGAGCATTCATGCAGACCACTGTGCAACTACTTATGTGTGTGTGTGCTGGAAAAGCAGAAAAAAATAAAGGGAGCACAGGGAGGCACATCAGCACAGCAAGAGGCACAGCTGGATGGCAGCGGTACATGCGGTACGGCCCAAACCTCAACAATCACACACGGTGGCAGCACACACCCATCCACAAAAAAAAAAAGAAAACAACACGGCGGCAGGGCGTGGCTGTGTGTGTGTGGCGCTGCGGGTGTCTGCCCGCCCTGGCCGCAAAGAAAACAAAACAAGAGGGAAAGAAATGTGTGCTCCGCCCCACAGGCCCTCGTCGCACGCCCACACGTCACGGCTCCCTCAGCGCGCCGTTCGTCGCGGCCCCTCCTCATGCGTGCAGCGGGCGAGGCGCACAGGGCCGTCGTCATGAGCGTGTCGGTGGGTGTGCGAGTGGAGCAGTTGGGCGGGAAACACACGGCACCCCTCACAGGAAGAGTGCAAAAGAAACAATTAAAAGAGGAAAGAGTAGAAAAGAAAAACGTCCATAGTGACTGCCCCCAAAGGAAAAAAAAGAAGGAATGAGAGATTAAAAATGCAAAAAATGAAAAAAATGAATTTGAAAAAAGTATTGAAATGCAAGCAAAAAAAAAAATTGAAACAAAAAAACTTTCTTAGGAGAGAAATTTGTTCTTATGGGGAAGTAATTCTGTGCTGGAGAGGTCGCAAGTGTTCCACGCGGCAGCCAGTCACTCCTCACAGAGCCGCAAATCCCCACAGTCCCAACAGAAGAAGGAGCAGCAGCAGTCCGCTCCCACGCATGGTGCCGCCATCGCTGTTATTCTCCTGCGACAATTTTCCGAGGCTGCTGTTGAGTGCCGTAGCATTTACTTCCCTGTCCTGTGGATGAATTCCCTCCTCTCCCTGCACATCTTTTCCTCCCGCTGTCTTTCCATTCTTACCAGTAACTCCTCTCAACGATTCCTGTCCCGTTGGCTTTTGTCCACCAGGAGTAGACGGAGACACGGTTCCCTGAACGAGTGTGTTTACCGGAGGTGGAATAGAGGCTTTATTCGGGTTGAGGGCGTCAATCTCTTCGGAAGTCAACGGGCGGTTGTACAGCAGGACGTTCCTCACAGTCACAGACACGCCTTCTTGGCCCTCTGCGCTGCGTCCATCCCCTCCAATGGAGAAGTGTGAGACCTTTTTCAACTCCGCTTTTTTCAATTCGCATTGCACACTTCCCACACGCTGACCATCAACGTACACGGAGCCCTGGCTGCCGTTCTGTAGCACAATGGCTACTTGGTATGTCGTATCTGGCTCCCAACTGTTGCTGTGCTCCTTGAACTTCGGCTCTCCACTGCACATTCGCCTCCACTTCTTTTCTTTGTTGTACGACAGTCCCAGTAGTACTGGATTCTCTGCGTCATTGATCCCCACACCAATTAAAGGAATGGGAGAACCCTCCTCCGGCACCTTGTGGATGGACACCGTCGCCACAAGAGTGAAGTTGTAGTTCGCAAAGTGGTACAGCTGATTCTGCCCCTGGCTGCCAACAGGCCACTCCGCCCACGCACCACGTCCTTTAAATGTTACGCCATTTTCCGTTTTCTCCACCCCAACACCGCTCTTTACTGTGGCGTTCACCCCGAGGTACTCGTCCCTCCATGTGTTACCAGACAAGTTGCCGGACAAAAAGCCAACCAGCCCAGTCGTGATCTTATCAGTAGTGCAGGCAGTGCCAGTTGAGGGATTCTTCGCAGCAGTTGAAGTGAGGCAGAGCTTGGAGACACGTTCGTCCACTTCCTTCCAGGTCGTCAGCACATCCTTCACCCGCTTCAGCTGCGCAGTCAGAAGCACTGAGACAATACCGAGTGATGGTTTTTCCCCCTCGCCCTTCTTCTTCTTGTACAGTGCAATCAACTCCTCCTTCTTATCTTTATTATTATCTCCACTTTTGTACAACAGGGAGCTGGCGGCAACGTCATCATCACCGGACACCGGCCCAATATCAACAATATGCGTATTGTCCGTCAGCCAAAGATAAAGTACGCCCTTTTCCACACTTCCGTTCTTACTTGAATACACCAGCAGAGTGACGAGCATCACGTCCCTGTTCTCAATCGTCGCTGTGGTGAACCCGCTTCCAACGCCGTTCGCTTTATCACCGTCCCTTCGGTTCCCCCACACGCGCGAGAGTGTCCCGAGGGCCTCCGTCCACGAATCCCCCTTGTCACCGGACTCGTACACCCTGCGGCGGCCATCGTCACACGCAGTCATCATCATGAGTTTTCCCTCCTTCCACTCCACAACGGAGGGATCACTGCAGCCATCGGCAGACATCCCCTTCGACAGTGTACAGCTCGGAGTGGCTGTGTAGTACAAGATCAGCGAAACGGCCTTTCCATCCTTCTCCTTATTATTTACCTTCTTCTTCGAGCCTTCCACTGGAAACGCAAGCGTCTCGTCCTTCAACTTAACACCCGATCCACCGCCGCCAACCAGCCTTGTTAAAGATTCGTGTTCCTCGCCTAGAGTGCACGGGAGACGTTTCGTATCGGTCCAGCCAATTTTTTTGCTGCTTCCTTCAGCAATGACACCACCCTTCACCAGCAACAACCCCCACTCACCTGCACCACTCTCCTGAGCATCATTACGGTTGTATTTCCCAACAAGCATGTAAATGTCACTTCCCTTCACAACTGCTGTTGGTTGGCTCACACCTACTCTCTTCTTCCCCTCTGTGGAAGTGACTTCCTCCAGAAATTGTGTATCCTTGGCATCCTCCAGCAATTCCTTCGGTTTGTTATCCGCTCTGTTCGTGAGAAGTTGGGATGCAATGCCAGTAAAGACGTTTTCACCCTTCTTCAACTGCGCCTCGGCAACGGCAAACACATCACTCCCCACTTTCAAAAGTCCGGGAACACCCAACGAGTCCACCGTTACACCTTCACCCTCACTCTTCAGGTCCTTCCATTCAAAATTTGGATCAGATGACGGCTCATCCGCAATTTCCGCAGCAGCACCACTGCCGCAGCACATCATCACAACGACAAGGAGAAGCAGCACCGCGGAAGTAAACACATGCCGGGACATGTTGGGCCTCTGCGGCTCACTCTCTCTTCCTTCCCTCCTCCTTCCGCTGGACCCGGTCACGCGGCGACGGTTGTGTGTGCGGGGTGCCTTCACTGCAGCAACACGTGAGAGCATATAAATATGTGTGTGGGTGGTGTGTGTGCTGTTGGTCCTTTCAGAGCCTTCGAATTGCACAGTAGCGTTTAGTGCTTGTTTGCTTTTTTCGTAAGAGTGTGAGAAAGAAATAGATAGAAAAACAGACTAATAAAAAGGGATGAAAGAATAAGCACCGTCACCCATCCACAGTGAGTGGCACCATCATCCCCGCCGCAGTCACTCCTAACAGCAACAACTCACGCACACAGACACACGGAACGAGAAGGGAGAACAGTGCACCGGAAACACACAGCGACTGCCACCGCCAGCAGCAGGAGTCACGGCGAGCGTGTCGTTATTCACGCGTCAGCACACACCGAGCGACGCGAACACACACAAAAAAACAACAACCGGCAGGATGCAAAAGGGAACAAGACCGTCCTTCGCAAAGCCCACGCGCTGTCACCAGTCATTTTACTGTTCACCCTTCCAGCGCACCCTCCAACGCACATCGCCCCACAGAGGCAAAGAATCCCTAAGCAAAGTATACACAGCATAGGAGATACACATTGGCAGGTGCAGCTGCTCGGCGGTGATCAATCCGCACTCACCCAAGACACCCTCAATATCACACGACCCAATCAAATGCACACCCGCAACAGATAAGCAAAACAAATCCCTTTCTCCTGCCCTCCCTTTTCGCAAGGGCCGCCGCAGCCAAAATCTTGTGCGTGCGTGCGTTCTCAGCTTACGCACCGCTACAAAGCGTGAGCGACATGGCGTATGTGTGCATGTGCATCTGCGCGTGTGTTTGTCAGCACCTATACCTGCAGAGCAGCTGTGCGGCACAAGAGAGTCAGAAGAAAGCAACGGCAGAGAGAGGCAGATAGCACACACGCAATTTACTCATATCATCACACACACGCAGCCCGCGGAATGAGTGCTCTCAACCACAACACAAGTAAAACAATAAAAGAAGAAAACAAGAAACCGAAGCGTGGGACGACCAGCGCACACACTCTCATTGCTCCCGTAAAGCAAAACACACACACACACAGGGAGAGAGAGAGAGGTCGCCCACTCAATGCAATGGAAAAAAAACAAAAACAGTTACGGTGCTCCGCCCATGCAGCCAGGCAGGACGGCAGCGATGCGTGTGGTGCAAAAGAGAGCACCAACGGGCCTGCATGGGTGTGCATGCATATATACAATGGGCACATTATGTGTGTGCCTCGTGGGATGAGGTGAGGGCGAGAGTCCATGCAAGGGGACACACACACAGAGAGAGTGAGTGAAGGACGAGTGTGTGTGCGGGCGGTGCATGGCTCTCTCTCCCTCACTCTCACGCGGCCACCACCGCAGCAGCAGCCGCACACGCAACAAGAAGAAGAAGCAAAAGAGGGGAGGTGGTGTGGGAGACCGCGGTGCTGCCGTCACTGTCTGCTGTGGTCTCTGTATTGCTTTTTTTATTGGTGGCGTTGCTTGCTGCCGTGGGTACCTCACTGTTGGCTGCTGCGGTTTTTGTTGAGCCTGAATTTGCTGTAGGGTTGGTTTTGAAAGCATTCTGCTCCACGTCTTCGGTGGATAGCTTGACGCCGTCCTTGTTGTATTCACTCGCATCTTGAGTGGCTGACGTGGTGGTTGTGGCAGTGTTGGTCCCTACAGCTGGTGAGGCTGCAAGGCTGTTGTGACTTTCGCCCGAGTTCTCCTTTTTAGTGTCAGCATTTTTGAGTGCTTTTGTTGTGTATCCTGCACTGTCAGTGTCGGCAGCAGTACTGACCTGCGGTGCGCCGCCATTTGAAGAGGTTTCCTCATCAACAGACGTCTGAGTGTTACCACTGGCGGAGTCAGGCTGTGCAGCTGGACTTTCGCTGCCATCGTTACCATTTAACGTATTCTGCATATTATCTCTCTGCACTGTGCCAATGCCGACACCAGAGATATCTGTTGAGCTCGCCGTCACGGTTGCATTTGGTGGTGAGGGTGAGGATGAATGTTCTGCTGGCATCGTAATTTGGGGATCTTTTAATGTTGCTGGTTCTCGCGATAATGTTTCTACATCATGAGGCCTTTCCTGTAAGTCCTGGTCCTTCCGAGTCTTATCCTTTTCTGAAGAGCCAGAACTCCCGCTGTTTTGAACTTCATTATGTTCGCCTTGGCCAACAGGATCCAAAGGAGGAACAAGTGCATCTTCTGGGCCCTCAGTGCACTTCGAAGACTTTGTTGAATCATTCTTGCAGATCTCGTTCTCCGGCAAATTCACCGAATCACGATTTTGACCTTCCCCTAAAGGTTTTGGGTCTTCATTGTCATTACTTTTTGGCAAATCACTGCCTTTTTTGGAGCCAGGCGCATTAACGGGATTGTCAACTGCAGGCTCAGAAGAAATGGTTACCAAATCTTCACACCTACAGCCGGCACCGCACCACAGCACGCAGAGGGCACATAGCAACAGCACACGGCCAGTCATCATCATCGCCATCACTCCTGTCACTTGCGTGTAGCCTTCAGCACAAACTAACAACACCCCGTCAACGCAGAGTAAAAGCAAAAAGAAAGGCAAAGTCACACAACTACAGTCACCACACAGTGACAAATGGCAGCAGCTTGCCCACATACCCGGAGGCAGTTGTAATCAGTGGGAGAGCAAAACGCACAAAACACACACAGCCCTGCAATAATTAATCAGCAAGAAAAACAAACAAAAAATAAGTAAAAGCAAAAAAACAGTAAACAAACAGCAATAAAGTAAAAAAAATTTAAAACACAAAACACTAAAAAACAAAAAGCTGCACCAAATGGCTCCAGTGCGCATGCACCCATCCACAAATATACTTCCACGCAAGCAGTTGTATGCGTGTCGTACATATGAGTGTGTCTGGGGTGCGTTCAACGTGACTGATACAGGGAGCAGCAACACGGAGCACACAGCAGGGCAGCGGAAGCAAATGAAGCAAAACACAATAATTATTTTCTCTTATTTATTTACATCGGACCACAGAAGACGCGCACAAACATCCCGTGGTTGAGTGCTGGCACGCACAGCCCGCATACACCTCTTCAGTCCACAGCGGTGTACGCCAGCGCGGATGCGGCGAGCAGCAGCGGGGCACACACCCACGCAGAGCTGCTGAGGCTGCCGTCGCTTTCGCGAAGACGTGACGGTGTGCGGGTGATCGTCGTGGTTGGCGCCTCTGTAGTTGTCGTACTCGTAGTCCTAGTGGTCGTCGTCGTTGTTGTAGTGGTCGTCGTGGTGGTGGTTGGTGCCTTTGTGGTTGTGGTCGTCGTGGTCGTTGATGCAGTCGTCTTCTTCTCTTCTTTTTTTTCGGGTACAATCAGCCCACTTTGTTCCCCTGACGCAACGGTTGGTACAGTAGGTGGCTGTAGCGGAACTCCAGGAGTTTGTAACGTGGACTGACCGGACACACCTGAAGCACCTTGACTGTTGGAAGACCCACCGGATACCATACCTTGTGTGTTTTCCATACCGGCCGCAATAACTGGCTTCTCTACTCTTTCGCTTTGTTCCACTCCCTTCTCAACTGGTTCCTGTACCCCTGGTACCTTTGGCACAGCGGGGACCGCAGTGGGGGTATCATTAATTTCACTTACTGCCACGCAAACGGATGGACAGCAGCACAGGGCGAGCACCAACAGGGCGCACAGCAGACGGTACGTCATCATCGTGAGTGTGGTCGTTCAGTGGTGTGGAGCTGATCCGCACAGTCAGGGACATGGAGAGCAACAGGGGAGACGAGAGGTGCGGCAGACACACAGACAGAGGGCACACCACATGAGGAGAGGGCAGCAGCCAGGCATGCACCGTACGCCGCACACCACGCACGACACACACTCCAATCCACGGCAGCAGGCACACACACACACAGCCCTGCCGCAACACCAACACACAGATGGAAGAGGGAGAAGCAAACAGGAGCGACACACAAGGCTCCACCGCATGTACATACAGCGAGAGCGGTCCGTCGTGTCGGCACCCCTCACGGAGGGTACGCACACACACAAGAGGAGGTGCAGCGCACACAGCAACACAAAAGCAAAGTAACAAATATGGGAATGATCCCCGCACACCACGTGAATTGTTGGTCCACGGGAAGTGCAGCCAACATTCATCACAAAAACAATTCAGTTGCCTTTGGCCTTCGTTCACATTCAGCGCACACCACTTCATGCAGGCCCAGCAACCACCGCAGCAGCAGCACACGCAAAAATAAGCGCAAGGAATGGAATAATGCAAGCAACCATTTATTTGCGTTTCTGTTTGAATGCTGGCAGATGTCTACATGCGTTTTGTTGTTTTGTTTTTGCGGAGGGCAAACCCTCATGCCTGGGTCGTGTGTCGGGGATTTCCGCAAGGTACACAATTTGTTTTCTCCTCATGTGAATGTTTCTTGTGTTGGTGCAGCCAATAATTCGGTTTGTGTTGTTCCTGCCTTTCGCTGGTAAAGTGTTGCAATAGATGTTTGTTTTTCCTTTCGTTGCTGCGGCACCTGATTCCTCACCGTTTATTGCGGTGGAAATGAAAATATGTGAGTGGACTCCCACGCACCAGAACGCACCTTCGCTCCTATTTATTGCTGCATGAAAGGGCATGTGTGTGTTTGGTGGTGTCTCGTCCATATATTTTGTGGGTGTACATTCCCCTGCAGGCTGAGGGCGGGATGACGCTCCGTCGCGGTGCACTTCCCTCGCATGCCGCCCACTGTGATTCATCATGCATCACCCCCTCACATATTCCGTGGTGCCACACCGCTGATATTATTGCAGCCGCTGTGATTCCGCGTACTTCACGCATTTGATTGTGCCACAATACATCCGCTCGTGTGGCCGCCGCATCCAAACAGCGGTGCCCAACACCGTGAGCGGCAGTCCACATCCCTGCATGTCCCAACGCAGTGGTGTTTGACTGTCAGCCAGGTGTCAGACAACAAGAGAGTCTTGTGCTGGCAGTACAACACACGGAGCTGCAGTGAATGACTCGGGCGGGGACGCATCTATTTGTCGCAAAGCAGTGAAAAGGAGTCGGGCAAAATAATGCCGGCTGCATTCACGACACCACATCCACAGCCAAAGCATGCGATGTGATGTGTTTCACTGGTGATGTGAAATGCCTGCAGACGACGCCACTAGTGGAGGCATGCCACCCACGATCAGCGGACAGACAATAATCGGCATGAGAGGCCACAAGAGGCAGCAACGACGCCAGCAGCAGGAGCAGCTCTCTCTCTCTGTTGCCTTCGAAAAGTAAATATTCCACCAGCCGCAGCTGACTGTGCCATCGTGACACTCCATGCACGTCGTGGCTGCGTCAACACATCCTGTTCCCTGCGGCGCCTCAAAAGATGCCTCACTCCGTCCACTAAGTGCATCGGTGTGGGCCGTGCCTCGGCTGTTCGTGAGGACCACAACGATGTGAGGGTCACCGAGTCGCAGCATGTTTGTTGTGACGCTGTTGCATGGCACCTGCACACACACACACGCAGCGCCTGCATCCCTCCCTTTTGTGTCCGCCCTCTGCCGGAGTGGCCACACACACGGGCAGCAGCAAAATCACTTCACCCTCGACGATCCAAAATCAACACCGACATCCCTCGCGACGCAAATATCTCAGTTGCCAGCACGGGCTTCCTGTCGCTCTGCCATCGACGCTGAAACACAGCACAGTGCACGCACTTATTTTCCTCGTGTGCAGTCAGCCGTTTGCTTCACACATTCTTCGATGGGCTGACGTCCACAAAAGCACGCCACAAAAGCAACTGTGATCACACAAGCTCTTGCGATGGGCGTCGGTGCGTGCATGGATCCGCTGCTCACACGTGCTGGCAGGCAGCCTGCAGCCGGTGCCCTCGTGCCAGTTCATCGGCTCCAGCACGGAAAAGAGAAAACGGCCTATTCCCGATGCACGTATTCCCACCAGCAGCACCAACACGCTGGTCGCCAGCCGTCATTCCTCAGCACATCCAGGAATGCCGAAAAGTGACGTGGAGCTGTCAGCCAGCAATGCCACAATCCCCGCACACATGTCGGCTCCACCAGAGAAGACACACAAATCACAAACAACACCCTTCACATGTCATCCGAACATCATTCCGACACACCGCGACACGCCAAACAGAAGTATTCGTCACTCCAATGCACCTCCCCATACAATCACATAGTCCATGCACCACGTACGGCATCAACTCACACGCCGTCAAACAAATGTTCCTCGGATCAGTGTTATCCACGTGCTGCGGTGGGAAGTAAACAAAAGAGACAAGATGACAAACCCCAAAAGAGTGCCACGACTGGCCGCAACTCAACGGAACGCAGCCACTCAAATGAATTCAGTCCTCATGCCCTCAAACTCCCACCTTCTCCCACAAAAGCTGCAAAAGATTGAAAACAAACGCACCATCCAACAAATTCTTTGTGCAACACCAAAAGAAGCCGCAGTGCCTTATGCTGTCCTCACAGTCCGTTGATGACTCCTGGATGCGGATGGTCACCCATCGGTTCTTACAAACGACGCCGCACACCCGCGACGCATCCTGCGCTCTGAGACACGCATCCCTCACTATCACCAGAGACGCCCACGCGGCGTCGGTACGCAACAAATCGTCAAGGAACGAAGGATACGTCAGGCGGACAGCAAGACACCTGCCAACAAATCACATCGCAGAGATCATCAATAACAGCGCCAGCAGCGATGCAGACAGCAGAGTAACATCGATCAAATGACGCACGGCTTATATCGAGGAAAAAAACTTGGTGGCGTGACAAGAAAAAAAAAAAGACTGACACTCTCTCATCAAGAAAAGAACAGTATAATAACACACAAGGAAAATTTTAAGAATCCGCAGTCAAAGCAATCCACCAATTAAAAAAAAAAAAATGAAGGAGTAATGGGTGCACTCAACCACAACACAAGTAAAACAATAAAAAAAGCCGAAGCGTGGGACGACCAGCACACACACTCTCATTGCTCCCGTAAAGCAAAACACACACACAGGGAGAGAAAGAGAGAGAGAGGTCGCCCACTCAATGCAATGGAAACAAAAACAGTTACGGTGCTCCGCCCATGCAGCCAGGCAGGACGGCAGCGGTGCGTGTGGTGCAAAAGAGAGCACCAACGGGCATGCATGGGTTTGCATGCATATATACAATGGGCACATTATGTGTGTGCTTCGTGGGGTGAGGTGAGGGCGAGAGTCCATGCAAGGGGACACAAACACAGAGAGAGAAGGACGAGTGTGTGTGCGGGCGGTGCACGGCTCTCTCTCCCTCACTCTCACGCGGCCACCACCGCAGCAGCAGCAGCACACGCAACAAGAAGAAAAAGAGGGGAGGTGGTGTGGGAGACCGCGGTGCTGCCGTCACTGTCGCCAGTCGTCGCCGTTGTGGTTTTCATTACGGTGGATTCGACTGGTGTTTCCTTCGGATTGGCTTCTTTATTTTCATTTTGTTTTTCTTCTTGTGTCCCTGCACCATCAGCTGCTGGATCTTTGTCGCCAGTTGTTTGAGTGCTTTGGGGTTTTGTTTTATTCGATGCTTCCTCCACACGAGAAGATAAAATTGGCTCTTCCTGACCGCCTTCTGAAATCCTCTTTGTAGTGCTGGTACCATCTTTTTCTTCTTCCTCTCCCTCCTCCTCCTTGCCATCATCCACTTCCTCTTCCACTTTCTCCTCCACTTCCTCTTCATCTTCCCCTTCATCTTCTTCATCCGCATCCTGATTCCCCTCCTCATTTTCCCCGTTTTCCGTTTTTTCATTTTTTTTTATCGTTTCTTCTGCCGGTCCTAATGCTTGTGCTCCGGTTTTTGGTGCCGATTCCGCTTCCGCTCCCGGTACGGGCACCGATGATGGTGCTGCTGCTTGTGACGCTGCCTGTTGACCGATTGGGCCACCTCCTCCAACGCCATCAGTTGTGTTGTTTTTACCTTCAGGATTATTGCCGTTGTCGGTCACACCAGTACCCGGAAGGGTTGGAGCTGCTTCGGAACATCCACCAGCGCCGGCACCGCACCACAGCACGCAGAGGGCACACACCAGCAGCACACGGCCAGTCATCATCATCGCCATCGCTCCTGTCACTTGCGTGCAGCCTTCAGCACAAACTAACACCCCGTCAACGCAGAGTGAAAGGGAAAGGAGAGACACAAGGCATAACAACAGTCACGCCACAGTAACAAATGGCGGCCCAGAAGCAGCAACAAACACACCATGAGGCAGTTGGAATCAGTGAAAGGGCAAAAAAAGCACATACACAGTCCTGCAGTAATTAATCAGCAATAAAAAAAAAAACAATTAAAAACACAAGTAAAAAAGCAACAAAAAATTTAATAAAAAAAGCTGCACAATATGGCTTCAGTGTGCAAGCATCCACATGCAAGCATGCGTCCACGCAAACAGTAGTGTGCATGTTGAGCATATGAGTGTGTCTGGGATGCGTTCAACGTGACGGATACAGGGAGCTGCAAAATGGAGCACACAGCAGGGCAGCGGAAGCAAGTGAAGCAAAACACAATCATTATTTTCTCTTATTTATTTACATCGGACCACAGTAGACGCACACAAATCCCAGTGGCTTTGAGTGCTGGCACGCACAGCCCGCATACACTACTTTAGCCCAGAGTGGTGTACGCCAGCGCGGATACGGCGAGCAGCAGCGGGGCAAACACCCACGCAGAGCTGCTGAGGCTGCCGTCGATTTCACGAAGACGTGACGGTGCGCGGGTGGTCGTCGTAGTTGGCGCCTCTGTAGTCGTGGTTGGCGCCTCTGTAGTTGTAGTACTTGGTGCCACTGGCGCAGTGGTCGTCGTCGTTGTTGTATTGGTTGTGGTGGTCATCGTCGTTGTGGGAGCATCTTCGGCTTTATTATCTTCCTTTTCCGTGGAACTGCTCGTACCACTTTGTGACTCTGTCGTGCTTTTCTTACCTTCGGTATGTACCACATTGTTCGGGTCGTTTGATTGCTTTTCCGGAGTGGCCGCAGCTGGACCGTCTCCGGCTTTCGTTCCCTCGTCCTCAACGGGGCCCAAAACTGATGACCCTGACTGATCCTTCCCTTGTAGTCCCTCTGCAACGGAGGAAGATGAACTAGAACCTTTTCCATCAGGTTGAACAATAACCTTTTTGTTATCCGCTGTCTTCGTCGTAGACGTCGTCGTGGTGGTCTGGGAAGAATCTTTATCTTGATTAACATCCGCCCGAGTTTCTGCCGTGCACACGGACGGGCAGCAGCACAGGGCGAGCACCAACAGGGCGCACAGCAGACGGCACGTCATCATCGTGAGTGTGGTCGTTCAGTGGTGTGGAGCTGATCTGCACAGTGAGGGACATGGAGAGCAGCAGGGGAGACGAGAGGTGCGGCAGACACACACAGAGGGCACACCACATGAGGAGAGGGCAGCAGCCAGGCATGCACCGTACGCCGCACACCACGCACGACACACACTCCAATCCACGGCAGCAGGCACACACAGCCCTGCCGCAACAACAACACACAGATGGAAGAGGGAGAAGCAAACAGGAGCGGCACACAAGGCTCCACCGCATGCACATACGGCGAGAGCGGTCCGTCGTGTCGGCACCCCTCACGGAGGGTACGCACACACACAAGAGGAGGTGCAGCGCCCACAGCAACAAAAAAGCAAAATAACAATAAAAAAGGAGAGATCCCCGCACACCACGCGGATTGTTGGTCCACGGGAAGTGCAACCAATATTCATCACAAAAACAATTCAGTTGCCTTCGGCCTTCGTTCATATTCAGCGCACACCACTTCATGCAGGCCCAGCAACCACCGCAGCTGCTGACGCACACGCAAAAATAAGCGCAGGGAATGGCATAAAGCAAGCAACCATTTATTTGTGTTTCTGTTTGGATGTTGGCAGATGTCTGCATGCGTTGTTTTGTTTTTGCGGAGGGCAAACCCTCATGCCTGGGTCGTGTGTTGGGGATTTCTGCAGGGTGCACAATTATTATTTATTTTCCTCTTGTGAATGTTTCTTGTGTTGGTGCAGCCAACAATTCGGTTTCTGTTGTTCCTGCTTCTCTTTGGTAAAGTATTGCAATAAAAAATAATCTTCTGAGCCGCTGGCCAAATCCTGAGTTTCTCAATAATAGAAACCAAACACGATAGAAATAAGTGAGGGATCGACGGAATAAGAGTGGGATCATCACATCCTCAAAGTTCAACACGAGGCAAATAAATGCATGTTTATATACATACCATCCGTTAGCCACAATCGTGGCCCGCCCACTCTATTCGGATAGGATACATATATTTATTTATTACTTACGAGGTGGCAGACTTTTGGGGTCCTGCAGCCACAAGACACCGCCGCGTGGTGGGAACCAAAAGGGGGTGGGTGCGATGGTTAAAATAAAAATAAAACATTATCCGGCCGCTGTCGGCTCCCTAAAGTCGTGGCCTTCCCAAAACTCATACGGTAGAAAAGTGTCCTAAAGAAGTGTATATTCGTTCTATCAGGGTGTATATATACATTCATTAAGTCAGCCAGCTCTCCCGCGACCATTCTCTACACAGGCTCCTAAAAGGGCTCAAACACACCCACAAGACTCCCAGCAAGAAAAAAGGTGCACACGGCGTGACTGACACGACTCAAAGTCATGTTTCTAAGACAATGCGTGGATGACTCTGTCGACGCCACACCCGCACCATATGCCATCAACTCCTCCACGGCAATAATCCTGCAGAGTGCGGAGAGGACGTTTCACGAGCGCACTATTGGCGGAGCCAAACAACTGTATCGTCAGCAGATGGCAGCGGGTGGCGGGGGAAAGTGAAGGTGGTGGGACTGTTGGGGAGGGTCGATGCGCAGTGTCCCCCACAAATACGAGGCGGCTGAAGTGAAACAAACTCGTCTGAACGTCACCGGCCACCAAGATGCATTGCTCCCTGCCGTAAATATTGATGAGCTCGAGCCTGGAGCAACTACTCGCAATGCGTGAAAGCGTCTTCCTGCACTGACGCTGGAATTCACATTAGACGGGCAACTTCAGAACAGTCGATCCCCAGCAGTAAAATGCAGGTGGCAGTGACGCTGTGGATTCTCGATTCCCCCGGCAACGAAGAGCGGAGAAGAAAACTGGTCTCCCCAGCTGCGCGGCATCCATCCATCCACTCTGTGCGTCCGGAGTGCCCCGCAGCTGCCTTGAGAGATGCAGCGGACAGACCTCCCTTATTTTCGCCTCGACCCGTCAAAGAAGACTTTCGCAGAGATGTCGGCACACACCGAAGTCTCCCTCGTGCCCGCCAAACAAAAGACACACCCGTTGAGGATCGTCACGTGCATCGACAGCCACGCAAATAAATATCCACCGCAACGGAAAGTGTTTCTTATTGGGCATAAAAAGAAAACTGGAGGCGGCGGCCTGGACAACACAGACATCAAATCATACAACAGGCAACCCTGAGATACATGCGAAAGAGCCAACGCAGGACCAGAAGCACAAACACTCG